TGGAACAGTGAACCAAAAATTATATGATTGGATGTCTTTAGAAATGTCAATCATGAGATTTTTTTTGTAGACATTATAATTGAGGTGGATGAAATGAAAGAAAAAGATTCATATAATCGAGTCTTTAAGAATAAATTTAGTTTCTTTTTATTTTGAAAATTGAAGTGTTCTTAATTGTCCCCTTCACCCATCCCCTCCCACACACACACATACGAAATTGATCTTCTAAACACCGATGCTAACTTTTGATAAGCACGAGGTGACATTACACACTCCAATAGATGGCATAATCAATTTTTTAACCGATCATTATCTCCCTTCGTTTATTATAGTGTGTCATATGACCCGAGTGCTTAGCATAAGCTAAGCATCGTACCGGTGCTTAGATTATGAGCAAATTGAAAATTGAATACGTACAATTTTATTTCAACTAAAATATTTGGAATAATTCACCACTTTCAATTTGTATCAACTCTCTCTGCTACGCTAACACCATCTCAATCTCTATGGATTAAAAAAAATAAAGTACAATTAATTAAGTAGTGCAATAAAGTGAGATATATTGCAACAAAACCCTTAATTAACATTTGTAATTCATCTTTCCTATTAATTCATTTTGTTTGGAATATGGTGTTGAGAATTAGAAAACCTACCCAATTTTATTCCACCAATAGAAATAAATTCGTGAAAAGAAAAATAGACACTTAATAACACGAGAGATTTGTTGTAGTTCGCTTTAATGTGAAACTATGTCCCTTTTATCCGATGCAATAATTCACTATAATGAAAACGAGTATATATGGGAAAACGCATGCCTCTCTCTCTCTCTCTCTCTCTCTCTCTCTCTCTCATATTATTGTAATATAGAAGCCTAATGCCGGCTTCCCATTTATAAGATAAATTAAGGCAAGACCAAAATTCATAAGAACACAAATTCCTAAACGTTAGTTCAGGGGAGAATCGGCTTCCAAATTATCATCACTTATTTTCTCATCCTACCACTATCACTTATTTCAAACTAAGAATATATTTTACTTTAAAGGACCTATATATTTCAAAAAAGTCAATTTTTTTTCTAGA